AGGAAGAAGCAGGCTGCCATCTTTGCTGTTCTGCAGCCTCCACTGGTGATATTCAGGCAAACAGGGTCTGGATTGGACTCCCAGCAAACTGTAGCAGACCTGCAGAAGAGAAACCTGACCGTTAGATGAAAAACAAACAAACAGAAAGTAACAACAACATCAACAAAAAAGACCCCACAAAGGCGGGGCATGGTGGCTCATGCCTGTAATCCCAGCACTTTGGGAGGCTGAGGTGGGTGGATCACAAGGTCAGGAGATCGAGACCATGCTGGCTAACACAGTGAAACCCCGTCTCTACTAAAAAATATAAAAAATTAGCCAGGCGTGGTGGCGGGCACCTGTAGTCCCAGCTACTCGGGAAGCTGAGGCAGAAGAATGGCATGAATCTGGGAGGCGGAGCTTGCAGCGAGCTGAGATCGCACCACTGCACTCCAGCCTGGGCGACAGAGCGAGACTCCATCTCAAAAAGAAAAGAAAAAAAAAAGACCCCACAAAAACCCTATCCAATGGTCAACAGCCTCAAACGTCAAAGGGAGATAAATCCACAAAGATGAGGAAAAAGCAATGCAAAAAGGCTGAATATTCCAAAAGCCAGAATGTCTCTTCTCCTCCAAATGATCGCAACACCTCTCCATCAAGGGCACAGAATGGGGCTGAAGTAGAGATGGATGAACTGATAGAAGTAGGATTCAGAAAGTGGGTACTAACAAGCTTCACTGAGCTAAAGGATTATCTTCTAAACCAACTCAAAGAAGCTAAGAACCATGATAAAAGATTACAGAAGCTGTTAACTAGAATAACCAATTTAGAGTGCAACATAAAGGACCTGACTGAACTTAAAAACACAGCACCAGAATTTCGTGATGCAAACACGAGTATCAATAGCCAAATTGACCAAGCAGAAGAGAGAATATCAGAGCTTGAAGACTACCTTGCTGAAACAAGGCAGGCAGACAAGATTAGAGAAAAAAAGAATGAAAAGGAATCAATAAAACCTCTGAGAACTATGGAACGTGTAAAAGACAGAACCTATGACTGATTGGAGTACCTGAAAGAGACTGGGAGAATGGAACCAAGTTGGAAAATGCACTTTAGGATATCATCCAGGAGAACCTCTGCAAACTACCAAGACAGGTCAACATTCAAATTCAGGAAATCCAGACAACCCCAATAAGATACTCCACAAGAAAATCTGCCCCAAGACAGATAATCTTCAGATTCTCCGAGGTCAAATAAATGAAGGAAAAAATGTTAAGGGCAGTCAGAGAGAAAGGCCAGGTCTCCTACAAAGGGAAGCCCATCAGACTCTCAGCGGACATCTCAGGAGAAACCCTACAAGCCAGAAGAGATTGGGAGCCACTATTCAATAGTCTTAAAGAAAATAATTTTCAGCCCAGAATTTCATATCCAGCCAAACTAAGCTTTATAAGTGAACAAGAAATAAAATCCTTTTCAAACAAACAAATGCTGAGGGATTTCATCACTACCAGAACTGCCTTGCAAGAGCTCCTGAAGGAAGTACTAAACATGGAAAGGAAAATCCGTTACCAGCCACTACAAAAACACTGAAGTACACAGACCAATGACACTATGAAGCAACTACATTAACAAGTCCACAAAATTAACCAGTCAGCATCATGATGACAGGATCAAATTCACACATAACAATATTAACCTTGAATGTAAATGGGCTAAATGCCCCAACTAAAAGACACAGAGGGGCAAGCCGCATAAAAAGATAAAGGCATTAACTGACTCCTTATTAAATGTCATAAAGATTATAAAAGATTTCTGGAAGTTATATCTTATGTTCAAGATTAACATTTTATAGATGGTTTATAAAATTTTGAAAAACAAATTTAATTGACTTCATGCTGTTTTTATTAGGACTTACTATTTGGAAAATTAAGTATCGTTATTATGCTTCAAAAACTACAGTATACCTGTTGTTAGATTCCAGTCTTGCCTAATGTTCCTCAACTGTTATTATTTTCTACGGTTTGGACCAAATTCTCATTTTCTTGGCTACAAGTCTTCCAAATAATGTTTTCAATTCTTTTCCTTCTTTTTCCCCCCATTTTTGCTAATTGGGAGTCACTGAAAACTAAGCGTGCTTTCTTAAAGCCCTACAAACTGAAGCTAGACAACTTAAACTTCGGAAGAAAATAACAGCAACCTATTTACATATACAAGCCAATTTCATACCTGCCTACTAATGTATGGACTTCAGAGTAATGTATCCTATATCGATTTTCCAGGGTTTTCCTTTTGTTTGTTTTTCTCCCTTCCTCCCCCTATTTTCTCTTCATACAACATGAGACTTCACAACCTGCTAAAATGAGCTTTCCTAACAACTCAGGACCTACCCATCTAGGAATAAACCATCCTAGCCATGAGAGATCAGATGAAACCTGGGAACAGAGACTCAATTTCTTCTAAAACGCTTTCTCCAAAAGATTTTTCAAAAGAAAAGGGGGGAAGAATAAAAGGCAAATAAATCTTGGGGCCCCCAAATCACTAAGCTAAAGGGAAAAGTCAAGCTGGAAACTGCTCAGGGCAAACCTGCCTCCCATTCTACTCAAAGTCAACCCTCTGCTCACTGAGATAAATGCATATCTGATTGCCCCCTTTGGAGAGGCTAATCAGAAACTCAAATGAATGCAACTATTTGTCCCTTATCTACCTATGATCTGGAAGCCCCCATCTCTGCTTCCTGTTGTCCTGTCTTTTCGGACCGAACCAATATTCATCTTACATGTGTTGATTGATGTCTGATGTATAAAACCAAGCTGTGCTCTGACCACCTTGGGCACGTCTTCAGGACTTCCTGACACTGTGTCATGGGCATGCGTCCTCAACCTTAGTAAAACAAACTTTCTAAATTAACTGAGGCCTGCCTGGTTTCACAGCTGGAATGAAGGTAAAGCAGCCCTCCCCAAATCCACTTCCTTATAGCAGGGGTTACGAAAGCCCACTTGGCCAGAGACTCCTAACCAGACCTGAGAGGCCAGGGAGCTCAATCTTCTGAGGTAAGATTTCCCACCTGAAACTGCTTAATAGTCACCTAATTGTATCTTATTTGGATTGGGGTCTCCTTGCAATGCTAAGGCTATAGTTATTTGAAATGGATTTGCAGATTGTACTTAAGGGTACTAAAGCAGTTCTTCTTGACTTCCCACTCAGATTACAGCTGTGGGATAGAGACTCAGAACTGGGAAGTGATTTATTTTAGAGTGCCATTCCTTGAGCAGGAGGAATGAATTAGACTCCATGCCCAGGGCACTTTTAGTGATATTTTAATCATCTGTATGATTTTGAGAATCGTCAGCATCAAAGGCACTGCACTAGGCAATTTGGATGTTCAAAACTTAAATCTAGGTGCAGTGGCACATTCTGTAGTCCCACCAACATTGGAGGCTGAGGCTAGAGGATCACTTGAGCCCAGGAGTTTGAGGCCAGCCTATCAACATAGCAAGACCCCATTTCTTTTTTTTTTTTTTTTCAGTTTCTTTTTTTTTTTAATTTTTTAATTTTTTTTTAATTTTTTAAATTTATTTATTATTATTATACTTTAAGTTGTAGGGTACATGTGCATAACGTGCAGGTTTGTTACATATGTATACTTGTGCCATGTTGCTGTGCTGCACCCATCAACTCGTCATTTACATCAGGTATAACTCCCAATGAAATCTCTCCCCGCTACCCCCTCCCCATGATAGGCCCCGGTGTGTGATGTTCCCCTTCCTGAGTCCAGGTGATCTCATTGTTCAGTTCCCACCTATGAGTGAGAACATGCAGTGTTTGGTTTTCTGTTCTTGTGATAGTTTGCTAAGAATGATGGTTTCCAGCTGCACCCATTTCTTCAAAAGAAAAAAAAAAGTTAAATTTTTCCTTGCTACACAAACCTATGATCTATCAGAGAACATAACACATACACAAAATTGGCAAACATTCAGCATGGGGAGTGACAGTAGAGAGGACAAATCATGTACCATGCTGTGGCTAAATAAGGAAAATGAGTGTAAGGTTCTTGTATCATTTCGAACCCCAAGAACGTGCCAACAGACAACACGAGACAAAACATGCTGTTTTAATGAGCGCCTGGGTGCAGGTGAGCTGAGGCCCAAAATGGCATCAGCCCCAAGTGAGGACGGGGCAAACGTTTTATAGCCTCCTGTAAACAGGAAGTGTCCTAGTCTGCTACCTTGTACCTGGATGGCCTCTTTCAGGATCTTCAGGGGTGCGTGTCTTCCAGCCTAGGTAGGTGTCTCCCAGCTGGGGTAGGTGTCCTCCAGCCACCTCTCTTCCTGCTTCTGCTATCTTGTTGACACACGCTGCTGACCCAAGTGGCCTTGCGCCTTGGGACTGGTCCTGAGAAGGGAGGAGTTATTCACCTCCTTAAGCCTTCAGGCCCCGGGAGAATCTTACAATGAGACCATCAGGGAGGACAGCCATGAGGGGTGGGCAGGTGCAGAGTAGTGTTGGCGTGGAGAGCCTTCCAGAAAACATGTGCAGTGGGCACCATGTGAAAACAGGGTCACAGCTGGATCATATGGGCCTCAGGAGGAGGTTTAGATGGAGTTTTCCTATGAGAACTATGGCACTGCATAAGGTAGGCATGACTGAGTAGACTTTAGACTATTGACCTTTCCAAATTATTGCAAATCTGGGGCGTCCCATCAGTCCTCAAAGGCTTGTTAGGCTCCCTCGCTAGTGTATGCTCTTAGATATACCAGGAAAAATGAAGCTTAGAGGATACGATTTATATGGAGCAGAACAAATCAACTTTAACTCTCTCTTTGAAACTGCATGGGGATTATCAAAGTTTCCTTTGATATTAAATTCAAAAAACAGGAAGAAAGAGAAGAGCCCAGGAGTTCAAAGTTCTCATTCCTCTGGGGACTTGCAATAAGATGTTTGGCATTGAATTTGGCTTCATTCCTACTTAATCAAAGCACTGAATCTACTTTTTTGTCTCTAGGTCCAGCATCCTTTGAAGCATGAGTTCCCACAAGAAGAAGCAACCCTTTACCTCACCCCCTCAGCTTCAACAGCAGCAGGTGAAACAACACAGCCAACCACCCCCTCAGGAATCATTTGTTCCCATAACCAAGGAGCCAGGCTACCCAAAGTTTCCACAACCAGGAAACACCAAGATTCCAGAGCTAGGCTACACCAAGGTCCCTGAGCCAGGCTGCACCAAGGCCCTTGAGCCAATCTACACCAAGGTACCAGAGCCGCATCCTTCAACAGTCACTTCAGGCCCAGCTCAGCAGAAGACCAAGCAGAAGTAATGTGGTGCACAGACAAGCTCTTGAGAAGCCGACCACCAGATGCTGGACACCCTCTTCCCATCTGCTTCTGTTTCTTAATTGTCTGTAGACCTTGTAACCAATACATTGTCACCCCAAGTCATAGTTTCTCCCTTATTTGTATCCTAAAAACATGTACTATGAAGCTTTTGTTCGCACACTCTGAAGAATTCTCTAAGCCCCTGAGTTAAACAGAAAGTCTTAATGGTTTTTCTGGTCTTCAGCTGCTCAGGGTTCATCTGAAGATTTGAATGAAAAGAAGCATATGTATCCCTCATTAAATCGCTTTTAATTGCAGTCTTGGCTGTGTGTGTCATTGACTGAATCTTCCTCCTTCCTTGTTTCCCCACTGTGAGTTAGGACCTACAGAGACAGAGGAGTTGGTGTAGAAGTCATCTATCTAAAGCCAGTACTGTATGTTTCTATGTGTGTGGGGGGGTACACTTGGGGGTGTTACTGGAATGGCAATGGGCATTCTGTGATGGTGCATAGACATTGTCACTTTGGGAAGCCACAGGCTCTTCTCTTGCACTGAACTGAGTCATGCCTGGGTTCCATGGTGCCTGCTCCAGGCCACCTCTAATCCTTAGTATCCTTCCCACTAATTTCCTGTCTATTCCTAGAAAACTTTACCCCTACATATTTGAACTTGATATTCCATTTTTCTTTATTGATTTTACCTTCCAGATACCCCAACACATATAGGCATACACATACAGACACTCACTAAAAGGCAGATTCACTTTAAATAGTCACACACTCACATAATCACTCACACAAGCTCTACTCTCATTGTCTCAGGCAATGTTACCTTTTGCTGGGTATCCGCCATGTACAGGGAGGCCTGAAGCTGGAGGAGCAAAAGGGAGTGGAGGATACACAGTGCCTCCCTTGCATAAGTTTGCAGTCTTGTCTAGAAGTTAGAATAAGGGAGGAGACCACCCCTCATATCATCTTATGCCCAATTTCTGCCTCCAAAGAAAGAAGAAGTAAAAACTAAAAGACAGAAATGAAATCCACAGGCAGACAGCCCAGCACCGCACCCTGGACCTGGTAGCTAAAGATCGACCCCTGACCTAATTGGTTCTGTTATCTATAGATTACAGACATTGTGTAGAAATGCACTGTGAAAATCCCTACTTTGTTTTGTTCCGATCTAATTACCAGTGCATGCAGCCCCCAGTCACGTACCCCCTGCTTGCTTAATCAATCACGACCCTCTCACACACACCCCCTTAGAGTTGTGAGCCCTTAAGAGGGACAGGAATTGCTCGGCTCAGGGGACTCGGCTCGGAAGTCTTGCTGATGCCCCCGGCTGAATAAACCCCTTCCTTCTTTAACTCGGTGTCTGAGGAGTTTTGTCTGCAGCTCGTCCTGCTACAAGGACATTCATATCTTTCTCACACAAACAAATATGCACTATACAGTCTCTCTCTCTTTCTCTCCCCCATCTCTCTTTTTCTTTCTCTCCCTCAGAATAGCCCACAGAAACAGATTTATTCAGTAATTCCAAATAAGATGTGGGTTTTAAGCAGGGATTAGGATTACACAATTTAGGTGAGGTGAACAACTGGCCACCAATTTAGGAAAGAGTAGGTAATTAAGGTATAAAACCTCAGGAGTGAAAGGAGACTTAAAGGGCACCTAGTAGAGTTGCTCCGTTTCTTAAATAAATTGATACCCAAAAAGTTAATTAACGTAACCCTGAAATTATGTTTCTGCATCACCCTGGAGTATAATTCCTCAGACTCCCAGCTCCCAACTCTCTCCTGCAGTCTTGTCTTTTTTATTTCAGGGGTGACCAACAGGTTTGCAGGTCTGTGTTGAGTGGCTCTGGGATATTGTAGAATGGTCTCTAACAGCAGAAAGGATGGTAAAACTTCTGAAGGTCTACAGTAATCACCGGGGAACAAACCATTTCTTGACAGGTTGCATGGTTCATAATATCAAAGAAGTGTGAAGCCAGTGACAGGTTACACCTGCATGATACACAGGTACTCCAAATAGGTTTTGCCAGACCTCAGAGATATTTGGAAATGATAAGAAAAAAATTGTCCAAGGAATCATTACAAGATGATGAGTAGTTGTCAAACTGGCAAGAGAGAATGATGTCACTTGGGCCTGTTAGGTATGCGCATGATGAGGTGGCTTCAAATTACTGCTGATTCTGTGATAGAAAGTCTAGAGATAATTTCAGGACCAATCACAATTAAGTAGGCTGATTCTGGGTGGGGAAGTGGACTCTATGATACACAGCTATTATGAATGTAAAGTCATGCACTTGCTTGTTCCCATTGTTTGGGACTGCTTTTTAAAAATACATATTTATTGTGGAAAATATATCTCACACATAAAAATTATGATTTAAAGCATTTTTATGTGGGTTTTTTTGGTATTCATTCCATTTACAATGCTATGTGTCTTTGTTAATATATATATGTGTATGCATGTGGGTTGATGGAAGATAAAAAAATCCCAATAATACAGCGAAATATAAACAGTGGTTAGTTATCTTTGGCTGTTTAATGTTAGTGTTCATTTTAATAGCTGTTTTTCACATCATGAATTATATAGTATTTTTTTTCCTTTTTTTTATTTTTTGAGATGGAGTCTCACTCTATCACCCAGTCTGGAGTGCAGTGGCTCAGTCTCAGCTCACTGCAACCTCTGCCTCCCTTTCTTTCAGATAATCCTAAGTAACAAGAATAGTGTTCTTCTGGCAGTAGCCTTGCCAGTCAGCTCCTGTAATCTTACCTGCATATCCTGTTACATATTCTTCCTGGGGTCTAGAGACATAGTCTTTCAGTGTCCAGCACCTTTCACATTTTCACAAAGCCCACCTCACCACTGTCCACAACTACACTGTCTCTCCTCAGTGTCTACCTCTTCAGTAACCACCTAGACAGTGTCTGCCAGAGTCTACTTTGAAGCCTCTTTCATCTGGTCAGCAGCAACACATTTCCCAAAGCAGTCTCAGAAGCTGGTAGTGGGGAAACATGACAAAGACAAATGGATCCTCCCTCTCATGACTCTCCATCAAATGTTCTTCAAAGCCTGAAATGATGAAGGCCTCTTCACCAAGCTTCAGTCTCTAATCTCCCTGGGATGAGGCTAAACAGAGAAGGGTTCTTTCCTGAATTTATTGTCATGCAGCATTCCAGGATAAGCGAGGAAAGGACAAGTCCCAGCCACACCAACCTTTCCAGAGTCTCCAAAAAAGGAACTTAAGTTCAACTTTCTTACAGTGAACTGCCCAACTTTCTGTGCTCTGTGCATTGATTTCCATCCTTATAATGATTGTGTCTATATATCTGCTTCCTGAATTATGTGCCTCTTTCATGATCGTCTTAACCTGATTCCTACAGTAAGTTGTGCCTGACACTAATGCCTCATGGGCAGGAAGTTTATTTGGGAATGCAATCCCAAGGAAGAGGAATAATGGACAAAGGGAAATACGAGAAGGAAGGAATGTTCCTTCAAGAAGGCATTACCATTTTGCACATCACAACAGCTGACAGTCAAGTCCATGGGACTTTTTTTTAATAGCAGCTCAGTAAATTTATTGACTTATTTTAGGACTGTAACAATATAATTGTTTTCATTTCAGTACTCAGTCATTTATAATTGCGAAGACATTGCCTTATAGGTCCTTGGATAATGGGAAAAGGGAGAGAAAGTGACTTTGTAACTTAATTGGCATATATGATGTCAGTTAATGATTATTGAACAATCCCTGTACCAGTTACTCTTGTAAACACTCTGCTGTTATTAACCTATTTAGTCCTCCCAGCAACACTGTGAGATAGCTACTACTATCTTCATTTTATGTACAAAGAAATTGAAACACAGGTTAGGGAAATAACTTGCCCAGAGTCACCAATAGCTCAGTTGGGACCAAAACTCAGTAAGTCTGGCTGCAGAGTTGATACTTGTAATCATTATTTTACAGTCACTTCTCAAACATAAAGTAGCTAATACGGGTGCTCTACTGATAGCTCAACAACGGTTAGTTCCTCCCAAACATGTACTTTCTTCCTGAAATATTTTATTATAATTACTACAAAGCTATTCAAAATTGAATGCTGAAACGAGTGTCTTACCTCTTTTTTTATTGGGTCATATAGTAGTTTCTTCCCCCTCCCCTTTCCCCCTCCCCCCTCCTCCCTTTTCCTCCTCCTCCTCATCTTCCTCCTCCTCCTCCTGCTTCTTCTTCTTCCTCCTCCTCCTCTTCTTCTTCTTCCTCCTCCTCTTCTTCTTCTTCTTCCTTCCAGAGGCACACATGCAGGCTTGTTCCATGGGTAAATAACATCTTGCTCAGGGTTGCTGTACAAATGATTTCCATCACCAAGTCATGAGCACAGTACCTGACAGGTAACCTTCCAACACATTCCCATCTTCCACCTCCCCCCAAGCACTCCTGAGTGTCTATTGTTCCAACCTTTGTGTCCATGTGTATTCAATGCTTCGCTCCCACTTATAAGTAAGAAAATGCAGTCTTTGGTTTATTCTTGCATTAGTTCACTCAGGATAATGGCCTTCAGCTTCATCTATATTGCACAAAGAATATATTTTAGCAAAGATGTGAAATCAATGAAGATGCTCAGCAACAGTGAACTGAATAAAGAAAATGTGATTCATATACAAACATCATGGAATACTATGCAACCATTAAAAAGTCCATGGATGGGACTTTCTGATTATCTTTAAGAAGTAGTCTCAGAACTTTCTGTCCTGGAGATGAAGGCAGGAAGTATTTATCCATTGTCTTCTTTCACTTTCCCTCACTATCATCATTTGTCAAATCTGTGCCCATATGTATTGACTACTCCACACTTCCCAGTGGTACACACACAAGCATTCCATGAGTGCCCTGCACTGCAGGATCATAGGAGCCCCAGAACAAGAAGAGAGAGGTATGCAGTATGGTCCGGCAGAGCAACCTTATCAGGTATCTTCTGCACAAAGCCCATCCAAGCCTACATGAAAAGAGTCATATGACTGTGTATGGATAAAAGGCAGGGCAGAGAGAATTTGCAGGGAGATCCATGAGGTGTCAATACAGTTAATCAGCAAGACCAAGAAAGGTCAGTCTTTGATGTTAATAAAAACAGTGAGCAGTGTTCTTTCATCCTGAGAAGGACAGACATAAAAGTCAGAGGACTATGGGGATACGTGAGTTGCAATCAGCAGCCATATGGCTTCCCAGTAAATCCATGGCTGATCCAGCACCACTGATGAGGAAACTGAGCTTTCTTGTATAGTGAAAAAAAAAAGCAGCTGGGGGGTCTTTACACCTA